TGTCACGTTATTAACCAATTATAGGTTTTGCTGATCTTTAAGAAGTCTTACTTCAGTCCAAGAGACTCTTTTACTACAGATATGTAGTAACTTTCTGATGTCTTTTCCTTCTCTCTATTTTATAGTGCTTATTAATTTGCACCTGCTGGAGGCTTCTGTCCAGTAGAACTAATATTTTAAAACTCCTAACTTTGTAGTGTTGGCCTTCATAGTGTCAGAAGGTGTGACTTTGACAGTTACTATTTCAAAGAGAAGAATAGTGACAACAGAGTACAAGTCTTGAAGAAACAAGTTAGATGTAAAGGCTGTGCTTTTTGTGCACATTGTTCAGTTGCAAACAAAAGGAGGAAGTAGTTTAGGTAATTATGCTTTCAAAAATATTTTTTCTCTTCCTGCATAAATAATTTGAAAGAGACTTTCTGATTTTGTTTTTGTAGTTGCCGATTAATGCACCAAGAGATGAAACTTGTATATTGATACTCTTTTCCTAAAATAGTTTACATTTTCCCTTTTAAATTCTCCCATGACTGATGTGTCATCTGGTCTGTGGGTTGGTAACAAATCATGTGGATTATATGTTTTGTTTTTTATTTAGACAAGATGTGAAATGGAGAAATATCTGGCACCACAGCTTCCACCCATTCCTGTTATCCCTGAACATAAAAAATACAGAAGAGACAGTGCCTCAGTTGTTGACCAGTTCTTCACTGACAGTGAAGGGTTGCCTTACAGCATCAACATGAATGTCTTCCTTCCTGATGTTAGTCACCTCAGAACTGGCCTGTACAAATCCCAGAGACCATGCGTAACGCACATCAAGACAGAACCAGTTACCATCTTCAGTCACCAGAGTGAAACTACTGCCCCTACCCCTGCTCCCACTCAGACTCTCCCTGAGTTTACCAGCATTTTTAGTTCTCACCAGACTCCCGAGGTGAACAACATTTTCATCAAGCAAGAGCTTCCTACTCCAGATGTTCATCTCTCTGTCACACCCCAACAGGGCCAGTTATATCAGCTCTTGAGTTCACCGGATTTAGATATGCCCAATTCTACTACTCAGGGAGCAATAATGGACTCTCTAAACAACGTTTCTATGTCATCAGCCATGGCAGGCCTTAACACTCTCTCCTCGGCTGTTCCACAGACTGCAATGAAACAATTCCAGGGTATCCCTCAGTGCACCTATGCCATGCCGAATCAGTTTCTTCAGCAACAGGCCACTTACTTCCCCCCTTCGCCTCCAAGTTCAGAGCCTGGAAGTCCAGATAGACAAGCAGAAATGATGCAGAATTTAACCCCTCCTCCATCCTATGCTGCGACTATAGCTTCTAAGATGGCAATTCACAATCCAAATTTACCAGCAGCCATGCCAATAAATGCACAGACCATCCAGACAGTCAGATACAATAGAAGGAGTAACCCGGACTTGGAGAAAAGACGTATCCACTACTGTGACTATCCTGGTAAGCAGTCTGTCCTAAAGGAAAATAAATCGCTCAAACTTAAAATGAAAAAGTATAAACAATTTTGCATTAAATCACATCTACATGTTCATAATCTGGATGGAAGTGACTAAATTTGAGGGCTAGAAAAAGGACTAAATCCTCTTTTAATTCTTCTTTCCCAAAGACCTTATTGTTCTGTATTCTTTTTTAGCATTTAAATAACTCTTGCATACTTTCCTATAAGATAATATGCAGGTTACTAACTACATATGCATTATTCCCTGTATCCCAGAACTTGGAGTGCTTGGGAAAAAATATTGTGAAAGAGGCCAATTTGGGTACATTTTACTAAATCAGATTTACTAAAACAAAGCATGAGCTATACTTCTTTGACATGTTGAGGTTGATGCTATAAACTGGCATAGTCTTCTTGAACTTTGTGGACCTCAACAGAACAGCTTCGTGGTATAGAAGCTGAGAATACGGCCCTTGTCACCCAATACAAACAAAGAACTTCGAATTTGTAAACTTTTTCTCTAATTGAGTTACTACTGTGATGCATTTGTTTTTAAGGTACTTGTCCATGGCCCTCAAAAACAAACAATCAAAAAAACCCCACACAAAATAAAACTTCAGTTAAACGCCTCCTGCCCAGATCCCATGCACTTGTTAAATTGAAATATGAATCAAGACAAACAGGTCAATCATTCCTTAAATAAAGTTACTCTCTCAAATATAAAATGTCCCTACTATACTTAACGAATGTAGAATTAGCCACTGGTAGGCATTTCTCATCCATATGGTGTTATATAAAGTGTGGTAATTCATATATGGCGTGATGAAGGCTGAATGGGGAAAAATATCAGTGTAGGATTACAATGACTAGCAAGTATTAAGAAATAAAGGAACTCTGTGTCTGAATTTTCTAGAAAGACAACGTTTAAAACTTGAATCATTGAGTTATAGGTGTGGCTACTTTGGATAATACACACAATAATATATTATATTATAGCAGCTGTCCTTTTGTACTACTATGAAGTAGTAGTCTTTGTATCTTTTCTTTTAATCTTATGTAACGACTCAAGAACTTCCTGTAGGAGGTCATAAAGCTTCAAACAATTGTGCTGCTGCAGTACAGTGTGTATAAATATTTTCTCAAAATAACAGCTTTGCATTGACTTAAACAAAAAAAACCCAAAACAAAATCAAACCTCTAACACCTAACATTGTCTCTGCTGATATGCTTTCCCTACCTTTTTATTTTTTTTATTTTTTAGGCTGCACAAAAGTTTATACAAAGTCTTCCCACTTAAAAGCACACCTGAGAACTCATACTGGTATGTACTTTTTCTTGTTTGGTCATTGGGTTATGAATCTTCTAAAAGCAAACATGTTTGATCTGCCATCTTTTCTTGTTAACCTGGTTGTGTTTTTTGTTTGGTATCTTCTGGCTAAATAGGCCAGAGACAAATTGACAGGTCAGTTGAGATAACCATCTGCCTTGGTCAATAAACACTAAAGTTCCCTATTTTAATGTACTTCACTAGTTATTTTTATTTCTTTATATAGTAAAAGATTTTAAGTACCAAAACAATTAATCACTTTTGAAACCTTCTATTTTTCTCTGAATTCTTGAAAGCAAAAGGTGTGTGGTATCCTTAGGGTTTACAACTCCTAGTCCAGGCATAGCAAATACCTGAACATCTCAATTTAACACTGTGTGTGTGGGAGAGTTGGCTTGGGGGTGTTTTTTTTCGTTTTAAGAATTTTCTTGAGCTTTCAGTTAAACTCTGGAATTCTTATCCTTTTGCTCTATCCCTAGCTTTTAACTTGCTTGTTTAGAAACCCAAGACCTTGTGCTCTTAAAAAAAAAATGTTTTAATTTTTTGATAAAGCTGAGTTAAAAACAGTTTCAGTATGTAACATTCATAGGATTTGGCCAGAGTACAATTATCTGCAGCTACATGTGTGCAGGCCATGTTAATGGACCTGCATGACTAAACTAAAGGATAGACTTCTGGTTTGCTGACTCCAGTATAAATTAAGAGTTCTCATTCTCTGTCAATATGTATGGGAATTACAAACTTGTATTTCAAGGAGACTGGCACCATTCTTTCCAAGACTGTAGCTCAGTTTGGTTTGTAGTTACAATAAATTACTATTTAGTACACCAGCCTTTTAACTAGGGGGGGGGAGGAACAAATCTTATGCTGGTGATTTGCTTAAAAACTGTAATTTTTTTCCTCCAAAATGCTTAGGAAAAACAAACCATTTGTAAATAAACCTAAACTAAAAAGTCTCTCTTCCATTATTATTTTTTTAAGATGAATGTAAACTCAAATATATAATGCTTGTTCATTGTATGTGCGCTCTTCAGATCCGAATAATTTAGGGTTACACTTAAAACAATACACCGACTAAAGTGGCCTGTCAGCATTAAAGTTGTACTGTGTGAATAATATGGCTTCACCTTTTGTTTTAAACAAAAGTCAAAACAAAAAGCTATGATTTAACAAAATGTATTTTGCCATCTCTATGGGAACAAGGTCTTTTATTCAGCAACTACTTTGAATGGATTGTTGGATTACTGTAAAGAAACTGAATATCTCCAGGCTAAATGTTACTATGGAAATCCTGTTTTGATAAATGAAGCAGTTATCTCTATTACAGCCACAGCAAAAATTAAAAACAACTGTACAAAGGTTACTGCTCTGCACTAGTAATAGACTAAACAAGAATACTGCCACCAACATTTTGTGATGCATATAACAACTTATGACCAGCTAGTTTAACAATTGACTAACATAATCAGAAGGATATAAACCTGGCTAATGTCACAGAATAGATCATTATGTGTCTAATAAATAATGTGCGTGATAAGTGGGTGCAGTTGCCCCATGACATGTTAATTAACAGTTTAACCACAGAGTTAAAACATTTAACCTGCCACTGTAGGAACAGACATAAAAATGAAGCGGTACTTAACTGAATTTTTCCGTGTTGTTGTATTTAAAAAAAAAAAAAAAAAAAAATA